ATATGATATGTAGACTAGAATGGGAAGTACCATAGATTTAGTACTTGGAATATGGTCTATAGAATGTCCTGTCAACACAGAAGTTTTACATACAGTATGAACTGCACTGTAGAGTATTTGACAGAGACAGTACCGTTATCACCTAGAATGCAATGCAAACATAAAAGTACTACAGACTGTATAGTATACCAGGGAAAGTCCTCCTGAGCATAACAACAAATCCAAAAGGAGGCAACTGACAAACAAAATGGTATCATTTTAACTATAAAACAGACCAGTTGGGACAGAGCAAAAAGAATCCTGAAATAGATTAAAAAAAAAATCTTAAAAAATTGTAAAGGCAGTACCTCAAACCAGTGAGGCAGAAATGCTGGAAAAAAATGTTTACATAGATCCATACATCATCTCATTGAAGGATGAATCACCAAGATATAAAAGTATAAAAGATCCATCATAACACTATCAGAAAAAAGTCAAAGAACTACAAGTAGCAAACTCTTGTGACACACTAGCGGGTCAATTCTGACTTAAAGTGACCACACAGAACAGAGCAGAATTGCCCCAAAGGGTGTGCTAGGTGTAATTTTTTTTTATTTTAAATAATATTTTCCTTTCACTGAAGGTTTACACAACAGTTCAGGTCAACAGTTCAACAGTTCTGAAGAAGCTGTTCAATGACATTAATGACATTCTTCACAATGCATGAACTGTCAGAATTTTCCTTCCGGTTCTTATATTTTCTAGGCTGTAATCTTTAGGAGAGAAGTTTGGCAGGTCCGTTCTCTAACTGGCCCACTCAAAGATTCGAACTGCTGAACTTCCAGTTAGCAGTCAATGACTTACCCAGTGGGCTTGCTTGGGCTGCTTAACAAGTAGCAGGTATACAGAGGCAAACAAATCAATCTCACACAGAGAAATCAAATTAAACAACACTCTAGTAAAACTGCCTACCTGTCAAATTGAGAACCCAAAATCTGTAAAATACTCTAGTGGCTTTCTCACAGCTCTTCCATGAGAAAACAGGCATACATATTTTGCTGATAAGAGTACAAAATGGCACAACAAGATAAAGGTAAATAGTCCAATAGAAAAATGGGCACAGGATATGAACAGACACGTCACCAAAGATGACATTCAGATGGCTAACAAGCACATGAAGAAATGTTCAAAATCCCTAGCTCTAACAGAGATGCAAATCAAAACAACTATGAGATATCATCTCACCCCAGTCAGAATAGCAAAATTTAACAAGAAAGCAAACAACCAATGCTGGCGAGGTTGTGGAGAAAACAGAACCCTTATTCACTGTTGGTGGGAGTGTAAAATGGTGCAACCACTGTGGAAGACAGTATGGTGCTTTCTCAAAAAGTTGCAAATAGAGATACCATTTGACTCAGCAATTCCATTATGGGGAATATACCCCAACGAGACCATTAATGACATCTAAGCAGATATATGCACACCCGTGTTTATCATGGCTTTGTTCACAATAGCAAGGAGTTGGAAACAACCTAAGTGCCCATCAACAAACAAATGGAGAGAGAAGCTGTGGTATATTCACACACTGGAATACTATGCTGCATTGAAAAACAAAGAACTCATGCAATATTATTCAAAATGGGTGATCCTGGAGGACATTATGCTGAGTGAGGTATCTCAGTCACAAAAGGACAAATATTGCATGGTGCAACTGTTGTAAAACAAGACTGACATTGGGGTTGGGGGGAGACTGAGAAAGATGGGTTCAATAATGTATACTGCATTGAAATAGATAAGGGAGAAAACTGTTTAAAAGGGATCTGTGATTAGGTATTTTTGTCATGACAGGAGTCCAGAGCAAAGGCTGCATGGTGGAGCGGACCTGGGGAGAGGGCTTGTGAAACAATAAAAGAATTTTTCTTTTACTTTTCCAAGAGGGTAGTATACTAGGGGGGACGGTTGGGAGGGGAGAAAAGTGCAACAATGAATGGAAATCCAAAGTCTCTGTAAATTTTCACTGAAATTAATAATAAATTTTAAAAAAGGGGGATGAAGTACAAAATGGAATCATCTTCTATTTATCTAACTCCAAAATACCTTTAATAGGAACATTTCCTTCTTACACACTCGTGAAATGTCATGTGTCAAGGTTTTCCATTAGAAGACTGTGACAGCAGGAGAGCAGAAGCAATACAACTCTCCTTCAACAAGGAACTATGTAAATAAGTGACAATATTCGCATTCAGTGGGACCCTTACTGTGTGGGAGTGAAAAAGAGGGAGTTCCTCCCACATGGGCAACCTTTGAAGATAGGTTAAACGATAAAAGCAAAGTACACAATAGTATAAAACAATATGGTCTTCTCTGTGGAATAGAGGGGGATGATGAGATTCATATTTGTTTGTATTTGCAACTGGAAAATACTGACATGATACACAGAATCTAAAATGTATGGTTATACTTTCATATGAATACAAAACTGAGTAAAGTAAGTCCTTCTCATTGTATAGTTGTTTTTTGGTTTTTTATTTTGATCTTTGAACCCTGGAATGTACTATGTAGGCAAACATCTCAGATTAGAAAAAAAAAACCCACCTCACTAACTAGCAGTTTAAATAAAATCATACACACACATATTTATCCATACACAACAACTAACCATAAACAAGAAATGATAAGCAAAATCTGTGGAAGAAAAAATGACAAAGACTATTTATAACACATGTGACAAAGGTTACTACCTTAGTTCTTTCTTTTCAACCAGGAAAGATTAACAACTTGCCCCCCCCCCGCCACAGTCCCCAAAATGAAGCAAACCAGAAATAAGCAAGTTACAGAGAAAGAAATTTAAGCACCTAATAAGAAAAGGGCTCAAGTTCACAGTACTTAAAAAATAAAGGGAGGGGGAAGCTTCAAATACCACTTATACCTATCAAGTAAGTATGAAGAAATGTCTCTCATATACTACATAAGTGAATATAAGCCAGTAAAATCTTTTTGGAAGGCAGTTTGGCAAGAGTTGTTAATTTCAAGCATCCTAGTTTTTGATCATGAATTTACTCCACAGTACTTTCACAAAAACCTATTATGATATTTGTTCTAGGATATTATGGCATTGTTTTTAATAAGAAAAATTAAACAACTCAAATGTGTATCAACAAGGGCCTAATAAATAAATTATAGGACAGCCACATAATACAATAATACACAGCCACTGAAAAAAAGAGGGCTTACCTGTAAGGTTGCCAAGAGATGTCATTAGGTGAAATAAACAAGGTACAGAGAGATACACAGAGCAGGACATCTGTGTAAAATGTGAGAGACTTGAGGTCGGGGAAGGGAGAGGAAGGAACACTTAACCTTATGTCATATATGTCTGCTGTATGAATTTTAACTATGAATGTTTTCAAGTATTATTTAAAAATCTATTTTGGCAAGTATTTGTTAAGTAAAGTATCTTCTCGATCCACAGGATCTCTCAATACTGTTTAACAACAGGGATGAGGGTGACAAGGACAATTCCAATCAACAATGTGAAACCAAAGCAGCAATACGCATGCATATCAGAGGCAGATCTGAATCCACAGGATCTGTGATGTGGTGTGAATGAACCAGGTACTATTTCTACAAGAGTGTCTAAGTGTAGCAGGACTTAACCGGCACTATGTCCACTGGCCCAGAACCCTGTACCATAGGTTTTGATTCACTTATCAACTAGTAGCATGACCTCAGGAAAATCCTTAGGGCAGCCTCTCTGGACATCATTCTCCTGGTCTGCAGGAGGAACACAGTGTTGCATAACACAGGATGGCTACTAGAGGACTCTAAAATGCTATGACCCTAACCTTAAAGGCACTTCAACCTTCGCCTGTTTGAAACAAAAAAATGCAGAAGTTCATTGATCATTTGTAAAGCAACAAACAAGCTCAAGCTGCCCCCCACTTTTTTTTTAATCTATCCAGGATCACAGAGAAAATACTAGGAGTCAGTCCACATAAGAAACCTCTTTGCTACACTTCTACGGACTTAAAACAATCCATCAGCAGTGTTTCCCAATATCAACCCAGAAGAATAGAGTTCATGTTATTAAAGTAATAAAATGAAAATATATGATTTCAGCCCTCATTTTTAGTTTTAAATTACGTATTGATATAAAATTCCCCGTTAACGACTTTAACTATAGTTTTGTCCCACTGAGCCAACCAATACCGTTACATGGCCTCTGAAGATTTGCAATGGTGCCATGACGTCAACAGGAACATTCAGAAATAGACTACAGTCCAATTTTCAGGCCAGTGGGGAGCTCAAGCTTTTGGGGATTCAAATTTACAACACAGTGGAGGGCAGGAGCAGAAGAGGTATGCGTAGAGGGTAACATGGCCACTGAAATCATTACATCTATTAGCTATAAAATGTCAAGCTCTGAGCCACTTAAGTAAAACTAATTTTAAATTAGCCTTACCCTAGTTCTATAAATCCACTGTTGCTCACACACAGAACTGTACATGTTCCTGAGAGACAACGTATTACAGCACCGCCATAAATTACCTTGCAGGGTATGTATGTGCCATGGAGAGCTTAAGCGCTGACTTTCATTTTTCTATTTCCCTATTTGTCAGTAGATTCTCTGTCTATCCCCCTTTTCACTTTGGACTAAGTAGAGGCGAAAGGAAAAGTAGGCAGAGTATATTTAATATTTTACACCAAACAAGTGATTTGCTTAAGATGACTTGGCCAGCCTCGTGTCTGGCACTAAAACCCAGCCTGACAGTTCCAGTCAGAATTAAACACCAGTTTTAATGGGTGCTGTGTTCCAATGCCTACTAACGCACTGAGTGAGGGTTATTGGCCAACTTCTTCACATAAAGGCAGGAGTGAGTGAGTGTGTGCGAACATGTGTGTGTGCCCACGTGTATATATACATGGAAGGATTAAGGGGTGGGAGGGAGCCGGCCACAGCTGCTTAATTTTTGTAAAGCTTTTCTCCCCCCTTAATAGGGAGGAGGGTTGCGGTTACTTACCATCCTCATAAGCTGCTACCGCCAGCGAGCTGTTTATCCTCACAAAGGAGACATATGGCTGCATTCCAGGCTCGTCCTCCTCATACTCTGATTCCAGGAAGGGGGCTATGTAGTCCCAGGTGCGGGTGTCCCACACCCTCACATCCCCTGATGTATATCTGGAAAAGAAGAACACACTTGGTTCCAAAAAGGGGCTTGGAAAGGAGGGTCGTGGTGGGCAGAGTGGAGAGAGCCTGCAACAACAGAGGGTGAGTGAGCAGTGGTCAGTGTGGGCTCAGCCCTGCCCCATGGCTCAGCTGAAGGACGCAACAGGAGACGATGTCAGCTAGCTAACAGAAGGTCGGGCACATGCTTCCCCTTCTCACTGCGCCACGCGGCAACTTCACATGAGACAGCTAGAATAATAAATGGGGTATCAAGATCAGCTTGTTTTTTCCCTTTTACACTATTACAACCAATCTGCTACCTTTAGTTCTCCCATGAAAAGAATCCTTGACAGAAATTTGTGAGAGTGGAATATTAACACACAGAGAGATCCACAGGCGAAAAGACGAGAGAGGGGAGAGAAAAATGCTGCAGAGACGCTAAGAACTAATGGTCTTACAGGCACTAGTTTTCTAATACCTCATCTATGCCTCAGATTTGACTGATTAAAGTCCCTAAAGACTAATTGATTTGCTGAAACAATTAAATCTTGCCTTTAGCAGCCAGATAATGCAGCCTTCTCATGAAAAGCTCCTGCCGAAATGCATGACATTCCCTGGTTTTGCCCACTTAGAAAAATAGGCACACTCACTCTCCCCTATTACTACTCCACTCCAGTAAATGACTCTCCATTAAAGCCCAGGCAAGGCCAGTCTCAGCTCAGACACCAGGTCCCTAAGATAAATGGAACAGACAGATGATGAGGTGGCATGCTGCCTACCACAGAGGTATTTAAGCTGAGGTCCTTGATTGCTACCGAGGGTTAATTCAGCACTAAAGCAACTTTGGGGAAGAGTATCAGAGATACCCTAAGAGCTCAGATATGCCCACACAAAGACGGGCAGACAATTTCAAGGGGCTGTAGAGTCCTCCTTAGCCCTGACCACAGAGCCCTCAGCATTCCTCTGAACACAAAGTAAGAGTACCGAGTCAAACAAGAGAAAACCTTTGAGGTTCATCACTGAAGCTCAACTACTCAACTCACTGCCATCAAGTCAGAACCAACTGGGTTAACCTGCCACTGCTGGACAGCAAATGAGTGGAGACTGTGCATATATCACCCACAGAATGACTGGTGGACTTGAAACACCAGAGGGGTGTAGCATTTGGCTTAGCAACAAAATACCCACAGAACAAGGCCACAGGTCAATTTCTCACGCAAATTGTCTTATAGTAAAGAAACTAATAACACTCTCATTCAGGAGGGCTAAATTTACGCAGCGTGGGAGTCCTTCCCTCCAGTTGCTCATCTACAGTAAATACGCACGCTGCGTCACTCTAACGCCTTGGTTAGAAACGTCCCTGCAGGACAGCACTGGGGAGGGGATGTGCGGTAGAAAGTGGCACACAGGAGAGGAGTGCCTTCTGAAACTGGACTCATGTGCATCTGTTGGAACACTGACCCTCCAGTACATAAAAACACGACCCAAATGTCCTAAGAGAATGGTGATGCTGTCCAAGCAATAGTGGATATTGATATCAACGCAGCCAAGGCACGTGCTGGCTCTGGGCTCTTCAGGCAACAGTCCAGACCCGCTTTCTTCTCTGGGGACCCTGAGCAAGAGCATAGATGCTGCTGCTGCTCCTCACATACAAGAGTCACCACGAGCTGCTGGAAATGGTCCTCAGAGAAATGCTAATTGGTTAGCTCCAAAGACACGAAGAAAGAACATGTGTGGATTTGAGAACTGTGCGTGATTTAAACTGTCTGGGTTAAAATCTATGTGAAAGAACACTGAGGGTGGAGGATGGAGTAAAGTTATGAAAGGGAACAGTCCAGAAGCTAAAGATGAGAGTGGCAATGCCTTTGAGAAACACAGTGAAGGTAAATGAAAGGAAGACGATGGGATGGAGGCTACTGGAGATCGAAGGAACCCTGAGAACCAGAGATGCACAAAGCAGACAAACATATCTGCTGTCACTCTTGGTCACTGTGCTTTATATTAACTGTATACTGGACCACATGGAGCCCTAGTGATACAGTGATTAAGAACTTGCGAGTTCGAGCCATTAAGACATGGCAATTTGCTCCCGTAAAGACTTGGAGGGTGTGAAACATGGAGGACGATGTGGTAGCAATAAACTACCAAAACAGCATAGGAGCCTCTGGATCTCATCAGGCTTAGCCTGGATGAGCAAATTTACGTGAAGATGTGAAATGACCGAGGGCTCCTAGGAAGATTACACACCTATGATCAATGTTTAAGTAAGATAATAGGAGATGTGGAAGAAACTGTGACTACTACAGAAACTGATGAAGAAACACATATGAAGAGAGATATAAATCAATGAAACCAAATATTCCAGTGCACTCTGTTCGAGGAAATGGTGTTGTACTAGTTGCCCCTCCACTGAGAGTAGCCTGAAGCAAAGCATTTGTCCTGTGTGGAAGAGACTTTATAAAGTACTCTCTTTAATGTACGATATACTCAAAAGAGACACCTGCATAAATTTTGATACTCAGAAGAGACCAATGAGTCTTCTAGTCCTGAAGTGAGCTAATATGCAGATAGCTTACAAGTTCTTAGGCTAAATGGCATTTTCATTTTTCTCCAACCCTTTGAATAAATATAATCACAAAAATAACAGACTTTTAAAAACAAAACAAAAATAACAGACTTCTTGCAAATAATTTCAGATTTTTGTCTTTAAAATACTTGGCTGCACGAATCGACCTTCTGGAAACACTCTTTCTCTCTTACTCTCCAAATGAGATCATGCTCCCTCTGATCTACCTTGCTAGCAGTCTAAACTTTTCTTTTATGGCAATTATACATGCTTGATCATCTGTCTTCCTTCTTAAGTTTCTGAAGTGAGCTGTGCATTCAATGACAACAATTCAATGTCAATGCTTGACAACAAGGAAGCAGCCTCTCTAAGTTCTTGCCCCTTCACACCTTGCTGAAGGAAGCTTTAGTGGCTCAAGCACTGCAAACTACTAGTTTCTACTCTCTCCTCAACCTCATTTTCTACTCTTCCTTAGCATGAGTCTGCCTGCAGACTAGTCCACTCTCTAGTTCCTGGCTTCCAATCCGCCTGCTCTTACTATCTGCTTTTCTGGAATGACTTCCCTCCTCACTGCCCAGCCAAACAAGACTCAGCCTCGGACGGGCATTACAATCTCATTAAAGTCCTGATGCCCAACCACCTGGAGACCAATAAGACCTGACTCTCAAGGAAACTGTGGTGGCTTGATGGTAAGGAGTTGAGCTCCCAACTCAAAAGCAAGTGGTTCAAATCCACCAGCTGTTACACAGGAGAAAGATGGGCCCTCTCCTCCTATGCAATTTATTGCCTCTGAAAATCTGCTGGAAAGTCAGTTATGAGTCAGTTCCAACTCAACTGTCTCTCATTCTTTCTCTCTCTCTGAGACATACAATCAAAAACGATTGGCAAAACACTCAAAAGGCAACACATTAATACCTGATTTCTCTCTAAATGGTTTAAAGTTTGTCTGTTTAAAACAAGGAATAAATTAAAAATTGTATTGGGAAGCATAAATTTTTACATAGATGTCGATTTCAGTTACCCTATTCTTCAGTGCCAAAGTGCTTTGCTCCAAAATGACTCAGGAGGTAAAATATCAAAGACTCCAAGTCTCCCTTACTGATGGCAACAGAGCATAAACAATAGCCCATTTCAGCAAGTCCCAGTGATGTGATGACTCAGGGGCAGGCTCTCAGGTCTAACTCAAGTGGCTGTGACCATGGCGCAGGGAGGTAGGCTGAGCACTAATGAACTGGTTGGTGCTAAGGAGCCAGTATTTTCACCAGGATCAAACACTGTTGGGGCACAGGGACCTGGACCAAACCCTAAATGTGATCTGACAATGCTAGCCTACACTAGGCAGAAGAGGCAAGAACAAACATCGGGAGGAGTTAAGAAAGACACACTCATTTTTCTCCAGAGCTCCAGATGTCTTTATCGCCGCCTAATGACAATTACACTCAACCAATTAAGAAGCCACTATGACAGTTGCATTGTCAGTAAGCCTTTGGCCTCCAATGTTGATGGCTCTCTAATTGGTATCTGTGCAAAGTACAACTGCAACTAATATACTAGAGCATGTAAGAACACCAAAGAAAAATGGAAGCAGAGGAAGGGCTTTTCAGGCTAGTGGAGAGGTCCGGCCCAGGGCACGGACCAGTGAAACTGCATGCATCTGCAATCTTTTTTTATGCTTGGCAAGGCTAAGTTTACCTCTAAATAAATAGGTCAGAGACCACAGCTGATTTTTTTTTTGTTACAGAAAGGGAACAGAGCCTCTCTCAAGCACAACACCCCAGAGTGATTGCCAATTTAAAATGATTTACCGCTGAAGAACATTCATTAGTAAGTTTCCAATAGGCAGCCCACTTACATGGACTGAGAGCTGAGGGGGAAAAACACATGGAGAAATGTTGCGCAGTTTTAAACAACCTTTACCCTTTCGTCTTGTATGACTATCCAGCAGGGCCCTTATTCTATTTCCAGGTGCCAGAATTTAATTTACTCAAAATGATTTTATTTCCCCTCCTAGAGTCTTGCTAACAACCTAGCAAGGGGTTGTTTTGATTTAGAAATGCTGTTTAGCAAGGGTAAATGACTCACTCAAGAGTCACAAGAAATATTTCAAAGGCAAAGCTGGCATCAAAATTGGTCCTTAAGTTTTTTTAATCTGCTCCTTAACCAACAAAGCCACCCTGCCTCCTCCAATGACGATGCCTTTCAAAAAAACCTACTCTTAAGAACCCTTGCCAATGAGGTACATTATACAGAATTCACTGTCTCCAATACTCTGACTCAGTTTTGCAGGGCACAGTCCGTGAACCTAGTCCATAGATTCCACCATCCCAACTGGACAGACGGACGACAGCAAAAAAGCACACGACACTGGCAATGGTCGTTGCCAACACTCTGCAAACACAATTCTTACCTTCCAAACTTGCTTCGCAGGTAAGCTGGGGGCGCATGG